GATTCACTCCCCCAAATGGCCACAACATTCAGGGTTGGGTCAGACCAAAGCCAGAGGCCAAGAATTCCATTCCTATCTCCTACCTAGAAGACAGTGACCCAGGTACTCAAGTGATCGTCTGGTGCCATTCCAGGCAGGTTAGCAAGAAGTTGGATTGGAATCAGAGCAGCTGGGACTCAGACCAACATTCAAATAGGAGATGGATACAGATGCATCAAGAGTGATGGCCTAATCTGCTACACCACAAAACCCATTTCACATTTGAATATTTTTTATGTACTTATGTCATTGCCAAAAGCTGGCTTTTCTAATAGAATACAAATCACATTTTTTTCTCATTTTCATCCAGATCTGGTGAACCCCAACAGACTAGGTTTCAGCAGCGACAACTAGTGAGCTTGCATGAGCCTGCTAATGAAGGAAGTATGGTAGGAGTTACAGTAGCCATCACTTCAAAACTATCTTGATTGTCCAAATTACATGAGCGACAATCTGCAAGGTCCTAAGACCATCCCAGAGATGCAATCAATACAGAGAGCTGGAATTTTCACCAAGGCCAGCTCTCACTACACAAGACAAACAACGGTACTGAAAAGCCTCCAGAGTTGTATGAATTTGCTAGAGCTGCCAGGATAGACTGAGTGACAAATTACAGAAATGTATCTCCTCTAAGTTTGGGAAGTTCAAAGCCTGGGATCAAGCTGTTAGTAAAGTTGGTTTCCTCTGTGGTCTGGCTCCTTGGTTTGCAAACGGCTGTCTTCTCCCTATGTCTATACATGGCTTCCCCTCTATACACCTACTGTGTCCTAGTATCCTATTCGTACAAGACTAAGATGCATTGGATTAAGACTCTTTGCCAATGATCTCATTTAGCCTTGATTACTTCCTGAAAATCCTTTCTAGCTATGGTCACATTCTGAGGTACCAAGGTCTGAGGACTTCAATATGAACTATAGCAACAGTTCTCTTCCGGAGGGAATAAGATACCCCAATACTGTTGGTACAGGGGGTAATGTGCAGCCATCCTAGTTATCTCTTTTCTGAGCCTAGTTTCAAAGGTTCAACTTACCACCAGTAGTGTTTTTATTCATATTGTTTGTTGCAACCATTTTTCTCTTCATCTTATCTTCTCATTTGCTTAACAGTAAGTAATTCGTTAGGCACATGATCATGGTAAAGATTTATATTACAGGAATTCACCCCCATATTCTTTAAGCACTGATTCTATCCTAAATTCTGATATCAGTACAAAGGACATTACCAAGTGAGTGGATAACAACAATGTGCAGAGGCAAAGATAACAAAATGTAATGACAGAAACCCAGTGAGACTGAACTGTTGGGATAACAATTTCTACCCCCATTATGAGGCAGAGACTTATTAAAGAATGTTATAAATAAATAAATCATCTTAGGAAAAGACAAGACCTGGGGCTACAAAAATTACTTAGATTCAGAACACATACGTTACATATGTTGTGTCTGAAATGCAGAAGCAAAACAATGTAGTCGTTAAGAACCTGATGTCTCGGAGGTCAGTATTAAGTCGCCACCTGCAACATCAACATCCTATACAGGAACACTGGTTTGAGTCCAGGCTGTTCTACCTCTGATTCCACTCCCTGGTGACACACCTGAGAAAGCAAAGAAAGATGCCCCTGGGCAAGTACCTCTGGGAGATCTGGTTGGAGTTCTGGGCTCCTGGCTTTAGCCTGACCCAACCCCAGCTGCTGCGGCTAGGTGAGGAGTGAACCTGCAGATGGAAAATCTAGCTATTCATAACTCTGCCTTCCCAAAAAAAAAAAAAAAAAAAACTTAAAAAACAAATCTTGATCGCTAAGCCAAACTGTTTTGCTTTTAGTTCTGCCACTTATCAACTGGGTTATCCTGAAAAATTTATTTACTATCTCTGTGATTCCAGTTTCGTATGCGCAATATGGGCAAAATAATATCTATCTCATAGAATTGGTAAGAGTAGCCAATCCCGTCAAACAAAGCACTTGGAACAATGCCAGACTTCACTAACTTATTAAATATGTACTTCTCCACTGTGTGTGTTTTATCAGAAAAATTATAGCAAAGGAGTTAAAACCATAGATATTGTATGTATTGGAGTATGCTGCTAAGGGGTTGAATGCCAGTCTCTACTGGTTATTAATCACATCTTTTACATCTCTGTACCATAGCATTTTCATCTATAAATTATTTATTTAAATTACTCCATGCCATCAGGTAATTTTGAGGACTAAGTGAACTACAATCTATTTAGGAAAATGTACAGTACACAAAAAGTGCTCAGTGAGTTAATTGTTCCTTTTTACTTCATCACTCAACTTTTTAAAAGATTTGTTCTATTTATCCAAAAGGCAGAGTTACAGAGGAAATGCAAGGGAGGGAGGAAGAGAGGGAAGAGAGGAAGAAAAGAAGACAGAGAGGGAGAGAAGGAGGGAGGGAGAGAGGAAGAGGGAGAGAGAGAGGGAGAGAGGGAGAGAGTGAGTGAGAGACGTACCATCTACACCTCTCAAATACCTGGAATGGCCAGGATTAGGCCAGACCAAAGCCAAGAGCAAGGAGATTCTTATAGGTCTACCATACGGGTACAGGGACCCAAACACTCAGGTCACTCTCCATCTCTTTCCCAAGCACATTAGCAGGGAGCTGGACTGGAAGTGGAGCAGTTGAGATACAAACCAAGAACCATACAGTACATCAGCTATACCCACTATATGCCATAATGCTGCCTCTAAAATCCCTTAACTAAGCAAGGTATAATAAAAAGAATCTGTTCTGCCTCTTCTTGGCTTATCCAACATGTGAACCAAACAGCAAACCGATAACCTCAGGAAGCAATGATCACTTCTGATGATATACATATGTGCCCAAAGGATTAGGAAGCCTGTACTTCTATTCCCCACCATGATAGGCAAAAAGAGATCAGACTTACTCTGTATTCTAGAAACCAAAATATCAGACAAAATGTGAGTAACGTGAAAGTTCTCCAACATTAAACAAGAAAGAACTACAAGAGTATTTATCAAGTTTATAATGCTATACAAAGTTTTGAAATTTGTGCCTATGGGGTCTTCTGGACAGCTCCTCTCCCCGTGCCTCCTTTGCTAGCTTCTCGCACCTCCCTAACCTCTCACGCTCAGATGGCCTTAGCGCTCAAATCCTTGCATATCTCCGTCTTCTCTAGCAACAGTCATTCACTGAATGAGCATACACATGCAATGATATATGCCATTTATGTGCTATCATTTTCTAACAATATGCCTTTGGTACAGACCTTGCATGTTTCTCAGTAAATATCTAACTAGCTATAGGAATTTTTCAGGCTCAGGTCTTGGTAATCTCAGTTTTCTAACTGTTCAGCTCAAATTTTTCAGTCATTCTTTATTTTTTTGCCTCTCAAACCTTGCATCTAATCCATCAGCAAATTTTATCAATTCTACTTTGAAAGTATATCCCCAAATCTGAGCCCATATTATCAAACAAGTACTGTCTCTTCTTTGGATTACATCAGCAGTCTTCTAACTCATATAGTCAAGATCACACATTTGCTTCAAACTCTTCAGTGACTACTGCTCTCACAGCATAGAAACAAAGGTTCTGGGGTCAATGTTGTGATGCAACGGGTTAAGCTGCCATCTGCAATGCAGACAAACCATAGGGGCACTGGTTCAACTCCCAGCTTCTCCACTTCTGATCTACCTCCTTGCTAATGTGCCTAATGCACCTGGGAAAGCCGTGGTAAATGGCCAAAGCATTTAGGAGACCCAGATGAAGCTCCTGCCTTCTGGCTTCAGTTAGGTCCAGCCCTGGCCCTTGCAGCCACTTGGGGAGTGAATCAACTGATACCTCTTCCTCCCTAACTCTGAGTTTTAAACAAAATAAATCTTAAAAAAGAAAAAACGTACTTAGAAGTTCTACTTAATTTGGCTCTCAACTTAAGACTTCCCTTGTCAATGCCTTATTCTGCACTAGCTTCAATAGACTTTGTGCTACATAAAGAATGCATGAAACAAGCTCTAAACCAGGCCCATTGCCTCTGCCTAGAACTTTCACCTTCCAGATAGTTCTATCCTCATTCCGTGTCTCTCAGCTACTTTCTCTCAAGTTCAAATTCCACTGAGCACTATCCCAATCACATGGTATAAAACATCAACCATGGCTTCCACATATATATTTTTATTGGAAAGGCAGATTTACAGAAGAGAGACAGAGAAAAAGATCTTCCATCCATTGGTTCACTCTCCCAAGTGACTGCAACAGCCAGTTTGAGCCAATCTGAAGCCAGAAGCCAAGACTTTCTTCCAGGGCTCTCACATGAGTCTCCCATTCAGGTGCAGGTTCCCAACACTTTGGGTCATTGTCTACTGCTTTCCCAGGCCACAAGCAGGGAGCTGGATGGGAAGTGGAGCAGCCAAGACACAAACTGGTATCCAACTGGAATTCTGGCACTTAAGGCAAGGAATTGGCTATTGAGCCATCAAAAGGGATCCATATATGTACTTATTATTTGTTTTCCCTGCACTAGAATCCAAACTACTGAAGAAAAGGACTTCATTGCTTTTTCTTTCACACCTAAAACAGTGTCTAACACATAGTAAAGACTCAAATAGTGATGAATACATGTAAAGCAAAGAAGAAAGAAAAAGCTTGAACAGATTATGTAGTCTGCTTTGGACTCAGATTTCCCTGTCGTGCAAAATGTGAAATCTGTACTTTTCAACTTTTAAAAAGCTGTAGCATTTGATTATGCTATGCAGTAGTCACAGGCAAAGATCATGGGGATGTCCAATGGTCAGGATGTGCAATCCTATTTTTCTGAGAATTTTGGATGCCACAGAGATCTGGGAATTTTTTTCCCCAATCTCCTCCATCACAGGGCCGTCACTCTCACTCAGGTTCTTTCCACTATTGAAGTTGAGGTATGGGTTAAACCCAATGATTAGAATCAGTTGTTTATGACCCCCTTCACAGCACAGCAAGTCTCCTTACCTCCACTGCAGTGGATGGCTCGAACAGGGACTGCCAGGGCTGCTGTGGGCTTGTGGGCTCAGGAAAAAGACAAGAGGAGATGTGGCCAGCACACAGTCAGCACTAAATGGGACTTTGGTGAGAGAGAGAGTGGCAGTCGATGCAGGTGAAAACGGGTGATGGTTTACTTCAGCTCCTCTGTAAAGAGTAGAGATTCTGACAAGGTACCACCATAGGGGAAAAAAACAGGGTCAGTGATCATTTCACAACCCAAATGAGACATAATCAAAGTGGGTTAGTTTATGTTAGCTTTGAACACAGCAAGTGCTCTAAACTCCTTCAGTCACCTACTTGAATACCAATATTCAATGACAACAGGCACTAAAACAATCCACAGATTTAGAATTAAAGATAGAAGTTTTTTAAGCTACTTACATGGGCTTGTAGACAAAGCAAGACTAAATCTTCCCGCAGAATTATATATAGTTCATAAAAGTAAATATTCTCAATAATTGATATACTACCAATTATATATACAACTGAACAAACTTATTTAGCTAAATTTTCTCTAATGAGTACATTAAACATGCTGCCCAAAACTATAATTTTTCTTCTATTTAAAATTTCACCTTCAGGTCTTTGCACTAAGAACAACTCTAATCACTTTGATATGTTAAGTTCCAATGAACAGTCTTCTATTGAAGGCCATTACATGGTTAAAAGATAGGTTCGAAACAGATGATAAAAAATAACCACCAGCCTCCTTATTTACTGTCACACTGACATGGCTCTCCATACGAAGGCTGTGTTAACTTCAGTATTTTCAAGGTAAAAAAAATTTACTAAAGTATCATGTAAGCATCTGATCTATGTCAAAATGATGTTGGCATTCTAGATCACTATTACTGATAGTTTAGATATGGCGATAGTGTACTTGTCTTAATTAGTCAAAGGAAAATCTTCACCTTTCTTCATTAAGCCTCTAGCAGGAGCTGGCTTATTTCTTCTGAGCACACAATATGGGAACATCGTAAGATATTAAAGGGAACAGACAGCTTTTTATAACTTGAAGTATGCTCAAATTTCTAAAAGCTCAATGTATTTTTGACAACTACAGAAAATTAAAATATTAATTTTGGATTAATGTCTCACTTTGAAAAATAATTAGCCTTCCACATATATTATTAAATATATTAATTTAAATTATATATTATTAAATTATTATATAATTAGGATACACAATAAGATCTTTAGTATTTGTTCACCCAAATGGTTTCCTTCATAAAACGAAGCCTAGCCATTTCGATGAATATAAAATTGCAATTATAAAAACCTGTAAAACTCAAATCTCATTTTCTTTTGGTCCTATTTATCACTCTGTCAAACGATTAGACAATGGGCTAAAGTCTGAAAAAAGACCGTTTCAAATAATAAAGGTAATTTTATTTACCAGTTTCTCATTTATATTTTCCAAATTCAAAATCATAAAAACAGGCACAATGGCTACCAACAGTAACGCCAGTATCTGAACAGCATAACTTTCGACCACTTAAATTTTCTGAAAGTATAAACTCTACTTTAAATCTTTAATTTTTCTAACACGTCACTTTTGCTTTAATGACACTGTATTTGATAAAGCTTCTCTTAAATTTTTCTTTAGAGTCTCGATATGACAAAATTTTTCTTTTTAAAAAAAATCTACATTCACCCTCTAAATCAGCCCTGTATTTTCCAAGGTCGAACAGAATTATTAATTCTATCGAGAAGCGCCTGCAGACACTGAAAATGGCACTCCATGTGAATGTCTGTGTAAGCCATGCTGTCTCCAGGAGGCTCCAACCCCAGGGGGCCAAGGTTAGTACACCACCTCCAAGCTGAGGACTGCAGGAGTCTTTGTCCTGATTCTCTAATGGACTAGTCAATTCATTCAGCACTTCATTAAACAAGGCTGAACACTTCTTGGAAAAGCCACTCTAAAGTGAAAGTCTTCTTACTTTTCCAAGGCTTAACATCTTCATTTAATTAAGTACATTTCCATATGAGCCAACACAGAAATAAAGTACAAGTCACACACTACAAGACCCAGGCTTGGATCTGCAAGCACAAGCCAGAGGTCCTGAGCTGGCAGGCCAAAGGCAACACCTTCCCTCTTATTTCCTTCTGCTTACATTCATGGTGTTTGCATCTGAGGCTTTAACATGAACTTCAAATTCACATTTGCTTTCAAAGCAAGGAAAAAACTATCTTCATATCAACCCAGTTTCCCTAAAAAACATATCCCCTAAAAGAAGAACCCCTAGAAGTATCTCTAACTCAGTTTCCAGGACTGGAAACTCCATATGCCCCTGCCAGAAATCGCTGTTGTGACCTTGAATCAGCCGAGCCAGCTCAGCCCTCTTCCTGACGGGTACCTCCAAAGCGGACTCTTGATCCAAGCAAAGGAAGCTGTGTTAGTTGGCATTAGTCCTTTTCCTGGCAGCTGTCAGTTTCCCACCAGAGACCCCGTCCTCCTCCTTACGGAATCCGCAGGCATGGCGCTCCCAGTCTCTCTCGCCTCCGTTTCATCATTCTGGCTACTCAAGTTTTGCATCTCACACCAGAGGTTTTGGCAGAAAGTTCCCTCACACAGGAGTATGTAGTGTGTCAGCCAAGAGAAACTTATGAAGGCTTCCAAACTTACAGGAAAAATCAAAGTATTTGTCTTTTAAAAACATGATATTCAGAAGTTCCCCTCCCAACAAAACCCTAACAGCCAGCCCAGGAGGCAGCAGTGAGGCAGAATGAAGTTTCAGATCCCAGAGGAATCAGCTGCCCTCTGATCTGCCTGACATCATTCACACTCAGCTGGTCACAAATCAGAGCAGCAGAGAGCACCTTGTTCTGTTGTCCGTGACAAGCAGCAAATGCCCTCCCCCACAAATCACTTGCCACCTCCAACCCTGAGACTTGGCAGCTGCAAAGACTGGCAGAAATCACACATACCAACTTGAAAACACACACTGTGTCAGAAATACTATTAACCCAGCAGGCATGGACCAGGCTACAACAGCTGTTGTTGTGGGCAGGGAACTAGAAGAAAGCATATTAAGGATCCTAGATTGGTAAATTAATGAGCTAAGAATAAGTGGACATTTCTGCAACATTATTCTCAAACTCAGGTCTGGTGGAGGATGACAGGGCTTTGCTTAACAGAACACACACCAGAGTCATTCAAATCTTGACTTACCAATTAAAGCAAACTCCAAACAAAATTTAGCATGTTAAAAACTTAATTTCTATTCATCTCCAGTAGTTAAAAATATTAATCTGGAAATCTCAATACGCTTGTGATGAGAAAAGTCATAGGGAAGTTAAGAAAATGTTCCCCTAAACAAAATCATTTATATGGGAAACTTTGCACAGCACTTCAAGGTAAGGTGCAGATGAACTCTAGTGAACAGTAAGCTACTTAATTTCAACTTGGTTTCCCCATCTATAAAATGAAGAAAATTAAAGCGTACACAGGTTGTCATGGGAGCAATATATGTAAAGCGAGAAGGTGCCTAGCACACAGAAAGCATCAAAGAAGTGTGAGCTCCACTAGCACAGCTCTTGGTCTCCAGGAGCTACTTCCAAGTTCAAAAAAGGAGGTAAGTCCAGACAAAAGGAAACCATGTCATGTGTGGTGGGGAACAAAGAAAGCAGTACTTGTTTTTAAGGGCAAAAATCTACAATGTTTGAAGGCCACCAGTCTGTTTTAACTACCCAAATAAACTCACTCCTCCTCAGAGTTGAGACACACTCAATGTCTTTTCCTGGTATCAGCTCAAGAACTCAGCTCTCTTAGTTCCTATTACAGAATCCCCTGTCCTCTGTAAGTCCTAAAGATAACTGGAACACTCTCAGAAAAATCTAGCACCTCTCAGCAAGTACCGGGGCCCACTTTGCAAAGCCTCACTACAGCAACAGGGTCAGTCTTAAATGCCCCAGCCCGTTCCACACCTCTCTCTAGTGGAGGATTGCTGTTAGGGCTGTTTCTACTCAATATTCTACATTTCCTAACATTCCAAGAATGGGCTAAATAATGATGATGATGATGATGATGACAACCAGGTTTCTGGCTTTGGCATGGCCTAATCTTTGTCATTGTGGCCAAATGACAAGTGAGTCGGAGGACAGGGAGCTATCTCTACCCCTTACCCCTTGTTCTGTCATTTTGCCAGGCAAATAAATGAGTCTGAAAAATCAGCCCTATTTTATGATTTTACCATTATATACAGAGCTCCAAATTCTGTTCTCCTGTGTGTGTGTGTGTGTGTGTGTGTGTGTGTGTGTGAGAGAGAGAGAGAGAGAGAGAGAGAGAGAGAGAGAGAGAGAGAGAAAGAGACAGAGAGACTTCTGCCTACTGATTTCACTCTGCAAATACACAACAGCAAGACCTGGGTCTGGCTGAAGCCTGGAGCCAGGAACTTCATGTAGGCCTCCATGTAGGTGGAAGGAAGGAAGATGCACCTGCCTTCCCAGGTGCATTATGATGCGGGATCAGAAATGCAGGAAAGCCAGAACTCGATCCTTCACTCAAACATGGAATACGGTTGTGCCAAGCAGGCTTAACCCACTGTACCACAATGGTCACCTTTGTGCCTTTTAAAAAAAATGGGAATAATAATAGCACATATATCACAAGACTGTGGTGTAGACTATGTATAATCTATAAATTGTTTCGACTAGGAGCTGCTGTTGTAGCGTATCAGGTTAAGCAACCACTTGAGACGCATAAGAGAGGGTCAGTTCCAGTCCTGGTTGCTCTACTTTCTGCTAATATTCTGGAAGGCAACAATGACAAATATATTGGTTTAATTTAACAGTATCATTAAAAAATTAATTGTGATCTTAAAAGTTACTGCCATTAAGTAAAGCATATATTTGTTTCTCAATATGAGAATAATAAAGAATTAAACCTGGAACATGAATTTTGTTTGCCCTAATTTATAATATATGAGCTATGAGCCACATAAATTTTATCAAAGGGCTCAGTGTGGTATCCTAGCAGCTAAAGTCCTTGCCTTGCACGCCCAGGATCCCATATGGGCACCGGTTCTAATCCCCCAGCTCCACTTCCCATCCAGCTCCCTGCTTGTTGCCTGGGAAAGCAGTCGAGGACGGAAAGCTTTGGGACCAGGCACCCATGTGGGAGATCCGGGAAGAGGCCCTGGGCTCCTGGCTTCAGACTGGCA